ATTCCATTGAATTCAGCCATTTGTTTTAATATTTTTAGGATACCATTAATGTCTCTCTTAGTTATATTATTATCATTATWAATAATATAATTAATATAAATATATATTATATTAATATAATATTGTGTATGTAATTATATAAGCATTTACAAAAAAAAGAAATAAATAAAAGAAATTTATTATCTCATTATCTTTCTTATACAAAAATTATCTTCTTTTTCTTCTTAACAAAGGAACATAATTTATGTTAATAAAATTATTTTCTACAAAATAAAGTAAAATTATATGAAATATGTTTTTAAGATTTTGCAATGTTTCCTTTTTCAATTTTAATTAAAAATTAAAGATCACAGATAACGACAATAATCGTTAATTTTTGTTAAACAAGAACAACAAAATGACGAATTATAGAAAAGATTCGAACGATTTAATAGTAAACGTGTTTCATTCGAAATAAGCAACACAAACGTTTACGTTCGTTCTGTTAGCCCTTCAATTCGAGAGAAACGTGTTGTGTTAATTTTCGACTTATACGTTCCATTTCTCTTATTTCTTTTCATATACCTACGCCCTTTACGTTATCCATTATTCGATCGTCTAATTTCTCCCCGGGGAGAAATAATCCCTTTTTAACGTATCATTGTTCGACTTTATTTAAAGGGAAATATCGATTCAACGAAAGCAAATGGTTCGTGGAAGATAATATTGAAAAAAAAAAAGAAAAAAAAAAGAAAAAAACGTCGTTAGATTTTTATACGGATCAACCGTATTCGGGATTGCGAATTGAACGAAAGAAAAAAACATAAATAAAATAAAATAAAATAAAAATATACGACAAATGATCGATTAGTTTAAAAGCAACGTTAAAAGTTTTCCAATTAATATCTTAAACGATAAATCCAAACAATTACGAACAATAATTCATTATTTCTTATTACATCGACGACGATAATAAATTACATCATTCACGGTAAAACACAAGAAAAAAAAAAAAAAAAAAGAAAAAAAAAAAAGAAATTTTATCGAAACTAAGTGATCAAAGTCAATCTTAATCTTTGAGTTATAAAAGTTCTGTCTTAAATATTGTTGATTAAAGTTAAAAGTTGGTATTAAAGTAAAAGAGAAAATTCGATGATCAATTTAGTTATCGACCCTACTACGGATAAAAGGGAGAACGTAGGTCTTTACTTCCTAGGGCATTCAGAGCTGAAATTGATTTCAACTTGGTCACACCCCGTAAAACTTGGTCAAAGGGTCGAGCTGTAGACGGGGGTGGTATTGGATAGATGGAAAGATAGATGGATGGGTGGATGGATAGATGGATGGGTGGATGGATAGATGGATAGATGGATGGATGGATGAATCGGACCAAAGGTGTCGTGGTTATATGCTATCCGATCAGCCTAACCTATCTTCTTCATGGATCTACCCTCACCACTTCATCATCGAACCACCCTACACACGACACTGCAATTCCCCCACGACCACCACCACCATCACTACCAATTCCCGTTAAACACTCGTCACTTTTCCTCCCCATTTCCATCAGAACTTATCCGTAGTTTTCTACTTTCTTCTATTTCCTTTTAACCACTTTTCCTTTCCAATTCTGACCAAACACAGGGTATCCTTTTCTTTATCGTTCTTGATGTTTTCCATTTATTCTACACCTCTCTCTCTCTATCTCTCTCTCCCCTTTTTTTCTCTTGTTACGAACAATTTCGATTTACTATAACGTTTTGACCAATTTGTCGATGATACTTTTATTGAAAATCCTTTCTATTATATATTATTCAGTATATGTATATGTATGTATATCTTTTAGATTGCAATTCTAACACACAAGCAACAACGAATCCATTTGAATGATATACAATCTTTAAACTTTGAAAAAAAGAACAGATTTATTTATTTATTTATTATATTTTATTTCTCTCTTTATTTCTTTTTTCTTTTTTCCATTGCGAAATAACCACCATACGTCTAGTTGAAAAAAAAAAAAAAACAAAAAATTGACAATTCAATTTGCAGTTCGATCGAAGTAATAACAAAAATCTAAAATAGATAAAAAGTTAAAAAGAAAAAATAAAAAAGAAAAGAAAAGAAAAGCTTCGACAAGATTGTTAAAGTATTATTACGTACACATATACATATACATCAACTAAACTATTAAATAGAATCTGACGTTAGACGAACGTTATAGTTCGACCACGTTCGAGGTCGGTGAGATTAGAGATTGACGTTGAGCCAACGATCACGAATCGAAATTGTTCGAGAGATCGATTGTACCGATAACGATCAAATCTTTTTCTTTTTTATTATTCCATGTTGTTCAATATTGAAATTGGAAAGCTTATAAAATTATTCTAGAACGTGGAACAGTTTGGGGATTGTAGGATATAAATATGACGAAACTACAAAACACCATAGAGAAAAGATTCTCTCTCGTCTATTAATTGGCTCGATCTTTGATCTATTTTCAGTTAAGGGCTCTATCCGCGGGTATTGTAGCTATGAACCTGTCGTACATCTTTTATTTTTTATTTATTTTTTTTTTTTCTTTTATTTTTTTTCTACCTTTTTCTCCTCTTTCTTTTCTAGTTGGCAAAACGTATTTCCGGCAGCGTTAGTCAGCCGTTCTAAATGCACTGTGCTAACTACGTTTTCGACGTTCTTCGTTTATCTTTCGTTCTACTCTCTCTCACTCTCTCTCTCTCTCACTCTCTCTCTCTCTCTC